ATGTCAGGGAACTGGACTAAATAAAGTAAATCAAATGTTTACAGCTTTCTTTTAAACTACCCTAAAAAGCTTTAAACTTCAGTGCTACAGTTCTAAAACCAGTCTACCGAAATTTGTCAATGACTCGGAGTTTTGATTCTTAATTTAAATGTTTTACTATTCACTGTGGTTAAAATCAGCTGTCTTCCATTCTCTTTACTTTATATATTCCACTTCCCCTGCCATTCCCATGGGACAGGGGCTAACGCGGGCAGAATTTAAGATGCAAATAATATTAATATATTTTTAATGATATTCCCCCGCGTGAGCCCCCTTTAAAAGTTACTTCCAGTAAATACCGAAATGGGAATATGACCTATTACAAATTCATTTTTAGCAGCTTGTTTTGTTACGCGTAATTCCCCAAATAAACTCGAAGTTTCCTTACCCTCGACGTTCTTTAAAATACTCTAACACGGTTTTAACTACAATGCCACTGATATTAAAACTTTCTATACTCATTTGTCATAATCGGTTCACCAGTATTGAGCCTCATTAAATGATTCAGTTGTATTCAATATCAGACGCAGGGCATCACGGGAGTCAGGTGTCATATAAGGACTATATTTGTAGCGCATTCTTTGTGTTAGATCGTATTTTACTTGTAACTTTATTTAAAAAAAGTAGTTGTCTGATAATTAAATCATTTTACTATTTTTTATTGTCAGAGTTAGCTTGCATTGTGTTTACCTAATATCTTCCCAATCCTGCCCTTTAGATGCTCTAAAGCAGTTCTAAGTGTCTAGCTACAGAGCATAATATGATGTTGGCTTCCTCGTTTTCACAGAAATGTTGAGCACTCACTTTTTAGCAAAGAAACTTGTCATTACAAAACAATACCATATGTCGGAACAAACTTCAAGAAACATGAGAAAGTCTACACTTTTCTTTTCTTATTAGCCGTTTGTATCGAAACAAACAAACTCATTTAAAAAATGCAAAGAATTTTTTCACCAGAGTCACTCAGTTTTCGATGATAAAAATAGCAACTATCATGAAACATTAAAAGATTGCGAACATTTTTCATATATTTGTAAAATTGTGGCGAAATTGTATTTACTTAAGCAACGTACAAGAGGAAATAAGTTCAGACCTTCATACGTTTATTTTTTTTCTTGTTTCTTCCTAAATTTTTAGTCCCAGGCCCTGAGGATGGTGATGATGACGATTGATGATGGTGGCAGTGATGGCGGTGGAGAAGCTTAGGCAAGTAATTTCCTGCTATTTATTGACGCAAATCAACAATAGCTCACTACAGAAGAAAAACCTTTTTTTGGCAATGAAATAGAACTTACGTTGGCAACAAAACTTCATCTAGTTTGACGGTGGAACAAGCGATGAACGAAAGATTGAATGAGCTAACGGGTTAACGTCCTCAAAATATAAATGAAAAATAGCAACTTGCCCTGCAAACCTCTCTAAAATCAAGGAACAAGCTTACCCTCTTTCATATTTGGTTGTTAGTGTGCCCTTCCGTTTCTCATACTGTATACCGTGTTTTACTTTCACATTTAACAATATACCAGATCAAACCAAGCATTAAGAGGGTCTGTTTTTTTGTTTTTGTTTTTGTTTTTTTCGTGCTCCGAGAAAATTCACAGCAAGAAAACTTTCCATAACAAAGTTCCTATGGAAATAGGCTTTTATAGTTCGGACTAACTTATTAAAGATTTGAACAATTTCTTTTCAGACCCCTGTTTAGACCAAGCGTATTGCGATTTTTCACCTAGCAGAATAAAGAAATAAAAGGTTAGTTAAATTATTTGGGCATTTGCCTTCTTTGAATAAAAAATTGTGTGAATGCTGAGCTGTTTTCCTTGGTTTATCCGAAAAACAAGGAGAATTAATTACTGTAAAAGAGTTGCGCCATTGATTCGAGGTAGATTGTCAATTCAAAATATCTATGGAAACATAGAATCCTTCTCTATAGATAAGAACCTTGATATCCTCAACAGTCGACAGTCAAACAAATTTTCCATCAATTCATATGAGTCGGTCGACGCTCGACCGACTAGCAACCGACTGTTTATCAAGAGTCGATTGCGTGTCGGCCGTGTATACATACATACATACATACATACATACATACATACATACATACATACATACATACATACATACATACATACATACATACATACATACATACATACATACATACATACATACATACATACATACATACATACATACATACATACATACATACATACATACATACATACATCCTTTATTATCTTTCCCCATGGGGGCTTCGATCGAGGGGATGTCGATCGAGTATTGATCAAGATGTTGATCGAAAATATCGATCGAGAGCATCGATCGACACTCAACCGCGGATGCCTTTAGTTAGTACACATGATCACGATTTTGTAGTTTCAACCCGAAATAGGGCTCAATCAGCAGAGCTGTATAATTTTATGATGATGAAAATAGAGCCCTTATTTTATTGGCAGATTTCAGGGGAGCCACTGAAAATCTTCATCATGTAACAGAACTGTCGTCTGTGTTTTTTGGTGGCATTTCGTATTCTTTCCTACGTTATTCAGAAAGACAAGACATTGTTATAAATCATCGTATCCTTTCTTAGTTAACACGGAGATTCCCACACAAAATAAGCTTGCATCTTGACTTGATAACTACGAAAGACGTTTAGTTTTAACTCGAAATGAATTAAAATAGCCCAGTGAAAATTTAGAAGATTTTTTTGATAACATACTGGAAAAAAGGCAGGGCTATGTTAAACCAGAAGTAAACTGTATGTTTAAATTTGCTTTGCAAACGTCACGTGCTTAATTACGATTATTCTGTAAAACCAGGCATGGAGGCTGTAGAATGATTTAACTCGAGTAGCCAGCAACAATGCAAATTTATAGGAACAAAAGAAAAGAGTTCAACTAACGCAGGATTGGTTTGGTATATTAACATGGCCACCGTTTTATTGTTTCCAACACCAATATGGCTGCTCTGAAGTCATCTGAAGACGCTCTATCGTGAAATAAGGCCTCTTAACTTCCACATTACTCAGACAGTAAGACACCCAGAATTTGATTTTCTCCTCAGTATTGTCTAGGCTTCTGTTGCTTGCCGATAAATTATTTGGTAAAACCTAATTTCTCTCATGGGAAGATCATTAAGATGTTTGTCTCATGGTACTACCTTGACCATAAACTTGAGAGACAAGGAAACCACACTTAATTAACAGAATGAGCTTCAATGTCTTGGTTCTTATGTGGGCTTTCTTCCAAGAATTTTGTTGTACTTGATTCAGTGTATAAGTCAATGCAATTAATCTAATTAATGGTCTCACAATGAATTTTTGAGTTGATTCTGAAAGCCTCTCTAATTACTACAGACATACATGTCATAAAGTGCAAAGCTGTTCATGGGATCTTGTTTCATCATTAGCGAAGTGTTTGTCTAAGAGACCGTGGGACGTGTGTTGTTTCAGGCATAGAGCAAGGACATGTGCTATGACAAGCAAGCCGATCATGTTCCTGTAACTTTTATTACCTTTCCGTTTTACATTACTTTGTAAATCTACCACTACGATTATTACATAAAATTGAACTCCATATCGGCAATTCATGTAACTTCATTGATTATTTGTTAGAATAAAGGCAGCAAGGGCTTGATTCTTCAATCTTGTTCAGTCCTCATTTGTCATCGTCACCAGAACCGCTACCTGCTTCAGTTGTTGGCACTAAACCTTCAGGGATGGTTGGCCCTAGAAAGCAAACAAAATACAGTTTAAAAGGCCGTTATCAAGGGCTAAGTTTATCTCTCTTAGTACAACAACGAGAAGACACAAAACTCAGGTTGGAGTACACAAATTCCCCATCCTTAAATGAAAGTAAGTCATGAACGGTACAGCATCAGTTTAGAACACACTTTCATCTGTTTTTTATTGGGAAGGCAAGAATAAGAAACTAATTTGTCTTTGAGGAAAAATGAAAACAATGTTTTTTGAGACATACGAGTTCAATATAGTCCCTGTTGTTAAAAGTTTTTCAAACATTGCATTGTTACAAATAATTTTCTTCAAAGTTATGTTAGTTTTTCTCTCAATGTAAATGCTATAGAATATTACATAGTACCGTTCTATCGCATGCATGGGGCGGGATTCCTCCTTAGTGAACTATTTTCCGTTTTGCTTCACTTAATATGGAGAACATGCGAGAAAACTGCTTACCAACCACTCGGGGTTTGTCGCCGCCGCCGCCGCCGCCATCTCCTCCGCCTCCACCACCGCCACCACCGCCTTCCCCACCACCACCACCTCCACCTTGGCCGCCGTCGCCGCCACTACCATTACCTCCGCCACAGCTAAGCACTACAAATTAAGACGATAGAATAAATAAAGCCCTGGTCAAGAGCTCAGATTATTTGTTCTAGCGCGACACATCAATTCAGCTAGAGTTGTTTTTACACAAATTTCCCGTATCTTGAAAAAGATAATGGTGATCTTAAAATGTTTCAAAATGGCAGCTTTCTTCAGCTTTGAGGACTAGCTGATTGCATTAAAATATTTTTCCCCGTTATCCCTCAGGGAATACCCAGCGGATATCAATCCGGTTGTCATTAATGTTTCTAAAGTGAATAACCACCGTGGGATGGAAAAAGGGTTTCCGCCTTACGAAAAATTGGCCGTTTCAGTGATGATTTTCATTTTTTTTCGACAGTAACTAGCCATCTCCTATTATTATTTATCAAATCAGTGCCAAGATCGCCTAATCCACTAAGCCTGAACTTTCTTAATCTTTTAAACTCCCCAGGCAATCAGTCCTGTCCTAACTTGTAATGAAATTTTCTACATCGGGAAATTGAAGAGATTTTACTCAATGTCACTTAATCTCATAGGAAATACCCGAATAATATCATATCGAATTTTATCTTTATTTCAAAGTGAATGAAGAAAGGCTTTCCGCCTTGAGTGCAAAGAGCTTTGAACAACCATTTTCACTTGAAATTTTTGCCTCGTTCTAAACTGCCCCATTTCCTTCGCCATCGATCAATTATTGTTCTAGTCTACTTTTCATCAAACTGCTACGAGAGACAAATCGGAAAACTATAGTCCTTAGCCTTAAGTTTGATCAAGTTTTTCTGGTTAATTTGAAATTGGGGTTTGAAAGAACAGGTGTGTTGTCAATTCGTCAATCTAAGGCTGATTAAGAAAAACGCTTAACTTAAAAGTACCGTCAACTAACCTTTTTGACACTGAATGATCAGTAACACGACAGCAAGGACAAGCCAAAGTCTCATGGTGAACAGTGTTTGAGTTTCCAACTTCTAAAACTGCACAAAGAGAACTGTGGACTATGGATGGAACACACCGGATGCTGCTTATTTATGTGCTCACTAGGTTGTATTGGCTTGCTCGGAGAGATATTGTTTTATTTATAGACTCTCAGCTATATAGGCTTGTTCGGATAAATGTTTCCGCTTTTTATAGCTTTTTTCTTTTGTGGAAATGTGGTGTCGAGTATTTTACACTTGACGAGGGATTGACCACCTCATAACGTGTTGCCTAATGATGGTTTTTTTGCCTGACAATCCCAAAACAGAACCTTTATCCTCCTGACATATATGAACTTACAAACTCTCTTAGATTTTAGGTGCTCATCTCTTGAACAATCCACTTCAAAATGGCTGGCAAGCAAAATCTCTCAAGTGGCGAATTTTGATAATCTTCAAACGCTTTTTAATTCTTGCACCTTTGGAATGAAAAAGAGTTCATTAAACTGTGGGAAAAATTTCCGACTTGAATGCCGGATATCTTAACTGATATCTGTAGATCTATTTTCAGTCTGACATGACCGAAAATCAATTCAACACTGATACGCTATGTCCTCAATTACGCATATGCAACTCTCAATACAACATGTTTGTATTCTCGTTATTGGACTGGAACCGAGGCTAATGCGAGCAGAATTTAAGATGCAAATGATATCGATATATTTTGAATAATATTCCTCCGCATGAGCCTCCTTTACAAGTTACTTCCAGTAAAATACCGAAATGCAAATATGGCCTATTACAAATTCATTTTTAGCAGCTTGTTTTGTTACCCGTAATTCCCCAAATAAACTCGGAGTTTCCTTACCCTCGACGTTCTTTAAACTACTCTGACACAGCTTTAGCTGCAGTGCCAGTGATACTAAAACTCTTTACACCCATTTGTCATAATCTCTCCACCGGTATTGTGCCTCATTAAATCATTCATTTGTATTCAATATCAGACGCAGGGCATCACGGGAGTCAAGTATCGTATTAGCACTTTATTTATAGCGCATCCTAAACCTGCATTTTACTTGTAACTTTATTTCCGAAAAAATAACGAAGTTTTCTGTTAATTATGTCATTTTACTATTTTTTATCCTCCGAGTTAGTTTGTGTGTAGTTAATATCTTGCCCTATCTTGCCCTTTAGATGCTCTAGGAAATTTCACGTGACTAGCTACAGAACATAATAGGATGTTGGCTTCCTCCGCATAAGGTTTCTCCTAAAGTGGTACTTTTGCCAAAGTACTCAATTTAAGGGTTTTTTTGATAATAATTTTAAACTTTTATTTTTATAAAGTACAGCTCCTTGCATAACTTGCAATGGACATTACAATACACCTCCTTACACAACTTAGAACACAACAAATCTACTCAACACAAATTACAATACTTATACAGCTACTTTACACTATTTACGATACTAACATAGCTACTTTACATTATTTATGACACTATGCTGCATTATACTACTTTCAACACTAATATAGCTACTTAAGATTACATTTCGAGTTGTTAGTACAGTTCATCTGAGTAAATATTCTTCATAAATGATGCTTAGAGATTTAGAGCGCCTAGTAATCCTCAAAACATATTAACTCCTAACGAATATCATAATTTATTTCCGTATGATGAGATCGAAAATCACTCGAAGACCAATACATACACAACTCGCCTCCATCCACCAGCGTCCTACAAGGTGCCCTACATGAAATTGAAAGTGTTTAGAGCGGTGTATCTTTAGCCCTGCACCCAACGAACAATCTTTTTCCTCATACTTTTACCCAGAACCCTCTGTCTATGTAGGCCCCCGAGTCCTTGGCATGGGGAAAAGATGTACTTGGATAAACATTGTGGCTTATTTCTTAACTAATAATTTTACTAATCCTATTAATTTCAACGCTGGGTCCTTCCTAAAAGTATCACTTGTTGATCTCGAACTAAAATCGTCTGATTACAGCCCTTTAGACCTTCAGGAACGTCAGTTGCAACTGGGCGAAGATTTTTCAGTGTAATCCTCCGAAACGAAACATAAAAATTCTCGCTTCAGGCCAGAAGTTTACTTTTATTTTGAATTGTCTTTGTTGAAATCGCTTGTCTTTGTCTAATCATTCATATACAGTTTTCGTTCCAAAGTTGTAACAATAAAACAGCCAACACCACTAGTTTTTCGCATGTGTTGTTTACAGATGAATATCTCTGGGAGGTTTGATAATTGGGTCGGGGATCGAGTTCTACTAAATTGACGTGCTTTTGTAATTTGCGAATACAGCGATGTTCACTGAATTGGCTCTCGTAAAACCAAAACCAAACCAATTACTTACTAATTAGACTACTCGGTCAATCTCACACCGTAGTCAAACCAGAACCAAAACCCAAGTAATTGCCTGATTACTTTGGACACTCAACTGAAAACCCCTCTGCTAACGTTAATAAAAAAAACAACTTCAAGATAGCCGCCAGATCTTGGTTTTCTGGTGATATCTTCATTGATATTGGCTGGGTTATATTTACTTACTGGTGTTGATTGACTCTCAAAGCACAATAAATGTAGTCCAGGATTAGCTCTAACTTTATTTAATATCAAACAACAACAGTTAAACAACATTGAGCGAAAGTTGTGTGTCGAAAACGTTCGGTGTGTTTTACTTTTTAACTTTTTTAGCCTTGTAAATAGAAATTATTTTTAAGAAATAAAAACATACACTGAGATCAATATTTTGAATACTTGAAAGCAGCTGAATTGTTACATTTGTAGTACTGTTTTTTTGTTTTGTTTTGTTTTGTTTTCTATTTAGTATATTAGTTGGTAATTTAATATCTACCAGGACAGATTTAGAAATGAATTGATCAAGAAGTTAAATTGAATTGTAACAACTTTTTAACGCAAAATGCAACAACTTCTTTAACGCGAAAATGTCATTTCTATTTACTGTGTACGGGTGGCTAAACTTAGTCACAGCAACCTTCAGCACACTTTTAGCTGTTATCCTTTGACGGTCTAAATCTTATGAAGTATGTTTTCTTTCGGCTTCCTAGATTAATAAAGAGCTGTTTATATTATCATTGATACTAGTAGAAGAAAAGCGGGAAAGGGGAGCGAAGAATCGCAAGTTTTCCAAGTTTTCAGAATTGCGAGAGCACAAGTTAAGCTGAAGCGGTTTTCAGATTAGGTGGTAATGACATAAATGTAGTGTTCCTTTCCACTAACACTACATACACACAGGAGGAGTTTCGAAAGGTTTATCTCTGAAACCTGTATAAGAATGGTTACTTAAACAACTCCCACTGCTTCCTCTCATTTGCTCTCTGTTACTTACAATATACTGTTGCTTTTCCTATCATTAAGCAAACACGCAAACAGAGTCACTGTTCAGTAAAGATAGCTAGAAAGCTAAAAGAGTTTAGTGGAAAATTAAATTGAATTAACCATTAAACAAGGATAAGAGCGTTGTTCTTAACACTACATTCTATTCCCTCTAAAGTATTTCAATTCAACAAAAAACGCCGACCTTTCGAAACCAAACGATTTTATCTAACACCGCCAACTCTTTCCTAGCGGCCACTTCTCGTAAGCGACCACTTCCCGCAGGCGACCACTAAATGTCTTTTTGTGCACAGGTAGTGGACAGGCATGTGATCGCGCGTTCGGACATTTTGTGTATTTGTTGTTGTTTGCTTAGCGTTGGAAGATATCAACCTTAGAGCTCGGACTCTAAGGTTGATATCTTTTAAAGTAACGTAGCTTTTCCAATTCAACTGGAGAAAATTTTAAGCAGGTAATGTGGCCAGTAGGTTTGTACAATTTGACTGACAGGGTTTGTTAGGTTAATATATCTGAATTTCTTTCTTTATATATTAAGACCAGAGTTGTTACATTTTGCGTTGTTAGATTTCGCGTTAAAGAAGTTGTTACATTTTGCGTTAAAAAGTTATTACAATTCGCGTTAAAGAAATTGTTACGTTTTGCGTCAAAAGTTGTTACATTTTGCGTTAATGCTACATTTTGCGTCAGTTGTTACATTTTGCGGCGTAACGATGCCCCAAGCGCGAAGCGCGGGGAGCATAGATCAAACGGGGGAGAAAACGAGGATCCGTAACTTACAGCACGGACTGAGAAGACGAGGCTTGAATGATATTTATTCTATCTCTCCTGTGAGTCTGACAGGACGGGAACGATTTCTATTCACGCGGAACGGCTTCCAATTCCTGATGCAACGAGTCAATTTGAAATCGTCACAGTGTTAAGTCGTTACCACGTGTTAATACACAGTTAAACGTACAAGGAAGTTTCAAACTTTTACTTGCTGTAAAAGTTAAGAACACTTGGTGATAAATCACGAGACATTTTGGCAACAAAAACAGTTCTAAATTTTAGCGGGCCGTACAGTAGAATACGGCCCGCTAAATTGACCAATCACAGTGCGCGTAGTAACTGAAAGATATACTGTATTTATTTAGCTCTCACAATACATGTATATGAGTGCTGACCTAAACTTGCATTTATATGTTGTAAAACTGGCTACCTGTTTTCTTTAACTCTCTCGTTATTTCAGGTAGCCAGACCCCATCTCTTTTTTAAATAATTTATACACTAATATACTGAATGGGAGATTGAAGCCTGCTGCTGCTGTCGTTGTTGTTGTTACTGTTGTTGTTGTGTTCTTTATCCTCCATCACCGTCTCTCGGCTAGAGCACCCTAGGGCCTAGGACGTCATAACAATATTTTCGACAACAAGACGATTTTCGATTTCTCGGTATTCGAGTGCAACTAGCTTGCAACTGAAGCTAACGAGAGGAGTCTTTTCAAATGAGCCTCCATTGCAAGTTGTAGTTTCAGCCCAATACTGAGAATACGAATATGTCCTAGCAATTAGATGTCAGTGTTTTGAAGAGTGGGTGGCTTTCGTAGATATCAATCTGTATATAGAGCAGGTTGACAGAAATATATTACTATACACCACCATTTACACACTACTTCTTTCTTTCTATATTGCAGTTAAATTTAGCTATTCTGCTCTCATTACTATGAAACGTGTAGATGTTTATT